AGCATTAATGGAGGGCAGGGGATCTCCCTCACCCGGACCTCCCTGTCCCGTAGCGGGCATGGGCGTCCCATGGGACTGATGAAAAACCGACGCAAAGTACCCATTTAATAGGTTGGCTTTTTCCTGGGCGTCAGTTGTCAGTTGCCCCATCTGGTTCAGCAGGGGTCCAATGTTGCCCTTGCTTTTCCTCCGGCTCCCCACATATCTGAAAAAGGACTTTTTATTGTCCTTGAAGCTCAAAGCTAGTTGGAGTTCAGTTGCAGCCTTGGCTTTCCTGGTTTGCTCCCTGCAGGACCAGACCAGTGCAGGTTGGGAGGGATCTCAGGAGGTCATCTAGTCCAACCCCCTGATCAAAGCAGGACCATCCCCAACTATATCCCCCCAGCCAAGGCTTTGTCTAGCCGGGTCTTAAACCTCCAAGGATGGAGATTCCACCACCAATCTGGGTAACCCTCTGCTGGACTCTCTCCAATTTGCCAACATCCTTTCTGGAGTAGGGGGCCCAAAATTGAACATAGGACTCCAGATGTGGCCTCACCAGTGCTGAACAGAGGGGAAGAATCACTTCCTTCGATCTGCTGGCAGTGCTCTTACCAATGCAGCCCGGGATGCCATTAGTCTTCTTGGCAACAAGGGCACACTGCTGGCTCATATCCAACTTGTCCACTGTCACCCCCAGGTCCTTTTCTGCAGAGCAGCTGCCCAACCAATCACCCCCAGCCTGCACTGGTGCATGGGATTGTTCTGTCCTAAGTGCACGTGACCTTATTGAACCTCATGAGATTGCTTTTGGGCCAGTCCCCCAGTTTGCTGAGGTCTCTCTGAATCCTACCCTCCAGCATATCTACTACTCCCCCCAGCTTGGTATCATCCACAGACCTGCTGAGGGAGCACTCTCTCCCATCTTCCAGGTCATTGCTAAATTCATTTCCCTGTAACAGGCTTTCTGTGTGACTGTGCAAGTCATTTAGAGATAAATTGTGACCCTTATACAAGTCTGAGGGTCCCATTGCTAAAGCCTAAAGCTCCCGTTGATGCTGAACAGGCCAAGAATATTTCTGAATCTTGTCCCTGCATTTGTAGGCAGTAATTCCTTACTGAAAAAGGGTAAAAAACATAAATGCATTAAAGATTTTGAGGTATTGAGAGATGAGAGACATACAAACCTATACGAATGAGGGTCATGCAAGCACCTATGGCAGGTAAGTAATCTTAATCCTTAGAAAGTTTTACAAATATTAATGCTTCTTATATGAACATTTTTCTAATGTAAAGTAGATGTAACTCTGTTTAATAATGGGTCTTTGCATGGTGCATCTCTCATTTTACTCCATTCTCTCTAACCCCTTTCTCAGACTAACATTAACCAACTCTCTATCCTTTGCCCTGCCTCTTCTCACCTCATTCCCTCTCCTGTTGTCTTTCACTTTCCCACAATCTCCTACTTAAGAGGTATAACCAGTTAACCACATCTTGAATGTAACAGCTATCGGGTGTCTTACTTTCTTTTCTTCAGACGTCAAGTAGCAACTTGTGGCGTAGGACTGATGCTGATCCATAGCAGATGGATTTTTTACTTTACTTTACAAAGTGTATGGATGATTCCTACATATCTCCAGTTCAGCAGTGGTTTTGGTGCTGATAGTCCTTGTGAATAAAATACAGAACTAGAGATTAGAAGAGTTTTTAAAGCATGTGCTGGCTATCTCAAACAGTGCGTATATATTTGAGCAGTGTCTCCCCCCTGTACCCAGGGGAGCAGGTAAGGTCATAACAAATAGAAAAGGTGGCTGGTATTGGTCAGCACTAGACACCTTCCATTTAGTTTAGTTCCTTATTCAACAGCTGTATGCAGGCAACATCCATTGAAAGCAATAGGAGTTTTACCAGAGCAGCAGTGCTGTGAGCAGACCATTGTGAAAGGGGGAGTGCATTATTCCCTCTAATGGCTCTTTGCTGCTTATAACTAACTCACTGATGAAAGATTCTGTGGACTAGTGCAATCCACGTCTCCTTTCTGTCTTCAAGTGACCCATATATAGAAGAAATTGGAGTCAACAGAGGAGGATAAAAACACTGAAGTTTTCAGTAGAAGGACGGGATTTTATTGCTATGGTACTTTAGAACCCACTGCTGAAGACTCACTTATATATTGTCTGGCATCTTAATGGGTTGTATTTGCAGAAAGCAGGCCTAGCATTCATCCATGCTGCTTCTCCTGCTAGCTGAAGTAGATTGATAAGTAGATTGTTATGCATAACACCTAAATACTTCGGTGACAGTGCCTTAACACTAATCAAGGCAAATGAACTATAATATGTAGTGGTAGCCTCACCCCTCTTTCACTTGCACTAAAATGTGAGGGGTGCTGGATTCCTCCCTCATTCTACACACCCAAGTCATCCTGCTCCTTCTTCCTCCACCACATCTTGTTTTTTGCCTTCTCATGTGATCCCTACAGCCAAAATCCTTACTCAGGCCCTTATCATTTTCTCCTGCCCAATATTCGTGTGGCCCCTACCAATTCATGCAAAAAACTGCTTTTCAGATCACTTAGATGTGGTTGGATCAGACCCCATCTTTGAGTCCCTCTGCTGACACTCCCTCTCCCACATCAAGTCTAAGTTTCTCCGCAACGTATTCAAAGTCCTACATTAGCTGTCTCCTCCCGTTACCTGCTCTCATCCTGTTTCATGCCCCGTCCTCTGCTTCCTCTCCTTCACAACCTTTCGTTAGCTTTCCACGCTCACCTGTGTGGCTTTTCCACACCCCCTCCATCCGACGAATGGACACATTTAAAAATCTCCTTCTCTCTCTGCATTCAAGTTGCTCGCAAAGACCTGTTTCTGCTCTGAAGCCAATGGGAAATGATAGAGATACTGTGTTACTATAATCTTATTACCAAATGTAGGCAATCACTGTCCTGCTCGCTCTTTGAACCTCTCTTGCTCTATATGTTGCACTCCTCCATACTGGTTCCTTATCTTTCCGTGGTGAGCTCTGCGAGGGAGGGACTGTGCTTTTTCACGTTGAGAGTTGCCTAGAACGTAGCATTGCTTGTTCTGCCAGAACCACAGCAAAGATAATAGTGTTTTTGCACAGCAAGACTAAGATCCCCTTGTTGTTTTTTCTAATTGTTTGTTTGGCATGTGGGAACCTGATTTGTTATTTCACTCGTCTTTCCACTCCAGCTGCAATCTTTGCCTGAGACTAAATCTACTTTCCTGCTTGAAAAGGGATGGAGGAAACTGTCCTGTCTAAATGCACTTGACATTACAGAGTTCACTATTTAGCATTTCTATGCCTCACCATGGTACCTTTTCACCTGGCTGACAAATGGAGAACCTTGATGTACTTGCTGATTAGGGCTGTTCTGTAGGCGGGGATGAATGCTGATTTTACATTTTAAATACGAGCAAATTGGAACATTTTGGGGGGAAGTCCCCCTAAATGTAGCAAGCTGATTTCTCAAAAGAGTCACTGAGTGGAAAAGAGGCTTTAGAAATTGGCTGTACATGCTGTAATTATGAATCTTACCCTTATTAGTACTTTAGAAACTATTTTTTATTACTCTGTTGAACTACTGTGCCATTGATTCTTCAGTGTTTATCCTAGTGAATAGGAGTTGTTCACTGTGCATGGCAGCTTGCTTTTAATCACAGTGCAGGGGAGTGTAACAATATGGTTAAACAAACACAAAAGGCTAAAAATTAAGCAGATTTTGAATTACAAAATTATTTAAATGTTCTTCTCTGTAATCGAGGTGCTGTATTGCTGTCTAATGAAATTATAGTGCTGCTTAATAACATTACCAAACTGCATGCAAAAAAATATTTGTACACAAGGTGGTGATGTTAGCAACCAACTTTGGGTTTTTTTATTATTCTTAACAACTCACAATAAATAACAACATATTGTTTTCTCTCTGAGATCTCCTAAGCTAACTTTGGGCATTCATTAAAAGCCTGAGATCAGAGTTATCAGAAAGAAAATCTGTGAATTGAAGGTCTTCCTAGTGCACACAGATATCAATGAAAAATAAGTGTTGAGCTTAAAAAAAATCTTCATATCTTTCAGGGTTTCTCAATTTCCTCTGGCATAATTGCACTTTGCGAAGAAGCATAGAAAACTACAAATAGAGTGGTGGAAAACGCCTGTATCAAAAAAAGGTAGGTAACACAACCTTCTATTAAAGATATCTTTCATATTTAAAATACTTCTCATTTTAACTGATTTAAAAATAGCAGCAGCTAAGATTTGCTGCCTAGAAGGGAAAGTGTCTCTTTTTGAACTGACATAGAACAAGTATCACACTAAAACCAAGGAAAGGGGTAATAAATAATGACAACAGATGTTTGTAAACCTTGTGCTCCTATGTTCACTGTTTCCATGTGTTTTCTTGTCTTGATGTGCTGTCAGCATCCTCTCACCTGGGACTAGTGATATCTTATCAAAGCCTAAGCAGTTCCTCTTCGCAACAGGCAGATAATAGTGCCTTTCAATTTATCATACTAGAAGTCTAAAAGAACCATGGGAACGATTGGTCAGGTGACAGTTTGATGGACAGCTTGACAGCCCTTAAAGCATCATGGGAAATGGTTGTCACCTGAATTTTCAGAGAAACTGGGGAGATAACCTTCAGCATGACAGGAAAAACAAAAATCTGAATATTTGTGTAGGGTTTGGTAACAGCCGTAATGCTCACTTAAGTGATAATGCATATGAATTTAGATTATTTGCAGTGGTGTAATCTGAGCCGGGGTCTGTGAGTTCTGTTGATAGCTTTAGCTTCTTTCGAACACTTTTATCAAACGAGTATTTTGCAAACAGTGGTGACATAAGGGGTTTTATTTCAATAAATGACTGGTTGCTTTTTTTTTCATCAAACTTCTGCGTAATACAATCCGTGTTATATGCTGAATGAAGTCAGATCAAAAGCATAATTGCAAAAAGGTGAATAGTCTTTTTAGAACGAAAGGAATGCAGCTCCGGGGGAAAGTACCTTGGGTTTTGTTCTCACTTGTTCTGGCTGCTTGTGACCAAGAAAACAGGAGTGCCTGCTGTAAAACAAACTCACCTCTTGATTTTTAGCGCACCTCTCCTGATTTTTAATAAGCACAACTCTTGCCAGGGTCGCCGTGGGCTGGTGCTGTATGCTGCTGTTGAGATTATAAGTAATCGGGCCACATATTTACCTGGCTGGGAGAATATGCTACTCAGAGAACAAGACTTGAGGCCCATGGAAAGGGAAGAGTGTGAAAGCTAGCAATGCTGTTAGCATTGGTCTGCTTAGGCTAGGGATGTGGTGGTGTTTTCAAGGGCAGTGAGTCTGGAACCTCTCAAAAGGACGTTTTAAGAAGAGGGTAGGTTATGCTGGAAGGAGACAGATGACATAAATGTTCAGCAGTAGCTTTTTATCTTGGGAGTCTGGATTTTAAAATATTGACTCAGTGATGGATGAATTTGGATGTCTCGTGTTGTCTCCCAAGAAGCACTTAAATGGCACACCGATGGCGAATGTCAGGGTGGGGTGCTCCGGCATCCAGTCCTAAGCTCGAACTTGTTTGAGTCAGTCTCTCACTTTTCATTTTAAAAACTGAGCTGATGCTCTAGAACATCGCACATTTTGGTCTGCCTCTCTCTGTTTTCCCTTCAGTCCAAAGAAAATACTGCAAAAATCAACTGCCTTTGTCTCCACGTCCATCCCTGTTTCAAACATGTTCTCTGTCTTTGTTCACCTTCACTTTTCAGAGTCCTGCACAACTTATCTCCTGCATCTCTTGCCTTTCTTTTTTCCCTGTACTTCCCCATTACCATTTTCTCTCCAGCTTCAGGTCTTTGTTCTAAAAACATACCTTTTCCAGCGATGCTTATAAACCATGACTCCCCACATAAAGTACAACCAAAATTAAACCATTCCTTTCCCCTGTCTTCTTTCTTTCTCCCTCCTGGCTACATATGGTAGCTGGTAAATTAACTAAATAGCAACCTCCATAGCACTAAATGGATGTGCACATATAACTATATTAATTGTGCTGTGTTATCCTTCCTCCCCTCCTTCATTGCAAATTCTGAGTTCTCCATTGTAAGAGTTTATAGTCCAAAGTAAGAATCCTCCCATTAGAAATTTCCCAATGCAATTTGGAGAATATTTGACTTTCATAATGCTATGCAAGCCTATTTTTAGTTAAATCACCAACCATTATGTGTCATCCAGCTATTTTTTTTTCTTGGTTCCTAGCATACGTATAATTTGTAAACAGGATTTTATCCATAAAATTAACGTTCTTCATAGGCTAAAGCCAACAAATTACTGGATTTACATATTAAACTAGTAATTTAGGGCTTGAGTCTGGTTTTTAGGCTCGTGTGCTCGTGCATATATGTGCATGTGTGTACATACACATACATCCACAGAGATGCATCTCTCTATTCCCCCATGGACTTTTACTATAGCAAGGTAAAAGACATTTGCACACTGTTTCTGCTTCGAGAAATCCAGAATACCCAAAGATACCAATAGTACACTGGCTGTGGGCAGGACTTGGCAGATGGTGCATTTGGATGCGGATTTGTCAAGATGAAAATGGAGAGAGTCTCTCTTTAGGCTTTCACAGCTTGCTGTGCAAGCACTATTGTTCCAGTCAGCTGTGAGTTGCATCAGTCTACAGTCGATTTAAAAAAAAAGGGGGGGGGGGGGCTCCTCTCTTGTGTCCCGAGGTCCTCTTTGTTGGTTCCTTCTGTCATACAGTCCACCCTGTGACTCAACTCCTCACTCCTACCCTCCATTTTGAGGATTACTTTTAGGTATTGATCCAATACACCCTTCTAGCAGATGAAATCCCAGTTCTGGCAATCTTAGTATTTGGTATGAATTGCAGGGTTCAACCTGTTCTAAACAGATTAGTTTTCCCTTTTGTGCACCAGTTTCTGAAATCATCGTTGAAGTTTCCCTCCCACGCCCCCCCCCACCGTATCCTCTGCTATTTTTTCTCTATCTATACAAATTTAAGATTTCATATGTGTATCTGGAGCATCTACGGAACTCAAATTGTTACTTAAAGTTTTTTTTCCAATGGCATTTTTGCAAACAAATAATGTGGTTGTAAGAGAACTAATCAGTATTTGAGCTGACAAGCAGCCAAACAAAAAAGATATTTAGAAGAGGCCCCTGATTTCCCTAATGACAGGATATACCCATCAAATAAACTCAGTAACAGCTGCTCTATTGTGTTAATGATTTTAAGATGTCTTTACTGTCTTAAAAGTTTTTTTTTATTATTATTTATTTACTTTTTTCTAGAGCAGAGATAAATTCTTAATATATCTTCTTGGGAGGGGAAGGGGGGGAGAGGAATGAACAGGTATACCAACTATAGGGTGCTTTCAGTGACTGTAAATGATCAAATTGTTTAATTTTAAAGCTTGGCCTTAAGGGGTGATCACAGAATACAATTAGTTCATAGAAATGTTTTTTCAGATGAAGAAAAAAAAAAAAGAAAGAGCTAAAAGGCTTTTACCAAATGCCACCGAAAGAATTGGTGTCCGTCTGGAGTAGCATCGGAAGTCATCTGTGCTAGTTGAATGGTGGAACCCAAAGTTGGAGTTAATTTACTGCGCCCTAATACCAGGGCACATGTAGACAGTGATGCTTTACTGTGGAGCTAATTAGCCAACTCTGCAGTAATGCGCATGTGTAGGTGCACCCAATGTGGACAAATGATCAAACCTGACCGGTCAAATGGAGGAGGGAGGGAGCTTAATGTACATCGCCTGTTTTGTGTCGTCTCATTAAATTAAGCCCATTTCATTCATGGGCAACTGCTTCAATATAGTTTCCATTTACCATGGGATGGGAGTGGACACATACAATACTAGAGTAGCTGTTTTAGATCTTCCTCTGTCTCCCCCACACATTAACTCAGTACCATTTGTCCAATGTCTCCATATCTTGTATTGGTGGTAATGAGAATAGCACCACAGCATAGTGTCAAGTCTTGATTTTACTCTACTCTTATAAAGACGGGGATGTGTTTTGTGTGATCCTGTTTTAGTTACTTCTTTTTTCATTGGGACGGAAGGTAGTGCCATGAGAAAAGATGTTAAGGAAGCAGAGAATACAGTAACATACGGGGATGGAGGTCGAACAGATCTGAGAGAAGAAAGAAATAAAATGGAGAGAAAGGAAAATCAAAAGGAAGAGTGATTAAGAGAGTGGGACAGAAGACAAAGTATGAACAAATACTAGTGAAAAAGTGAAACAGAAAAGTTGTATTTTATAAATGCTCTGACTGCTCTTATCTCCATGTATCAAACTATCATCAGAGGAGTATATAAGCAATATTATTACGTAGCTTATTCTCATTCTGCTTCTCACTAGGGGAGAATTGCAGTGCAGTGCTGTGTTTTAGTACTGCTTTAAATATACTTACTACTATCTGTTTGTTAGAGAAGGCAAGATTAATGAAGGTTACCTAATACTTGAGAGGAAACAGCGAGGAGGTCTTATGGGATTTTGTTCCACAGTTTCAGCATAACCTCCTGTGAATGCTTTCTCCTGCACAGACAAGCTATGCCTTTATTATAGAAAGCTCTATTGTGTCAGCCCTGGTTTCCATCCTGCATTTTTAGCCAATTTTTTTTTTAGATATGTTGGCTTTCCATGGCATTGAGTGCCCTAGAGATAAGGACTGAGACCTTGAACTTCATTACTCTGTGAGGAGCTGTATAAAATACAGAGGACAGTGTAAAGTCCTCATGGTAGCCAGTACTGCTGAGAGGACAGGCCACAACTTTCTGTAAACTAGTATAAGCTTCCTAATGGCTAATGCATTAATGCCCAGGTGTCTTGCTTTGCTTCCATTCAAATGGAAGACAAGATGCAGATAAGTGAAGCCACTGTTTGTGCCAGTCTGGGCTGGAACCTTTTAGCCACTTTTAGGTGGTAGAAAGCATTGCATGGATATATGGTGACAGGAGAACTTGACAACATCAAGAAACCTCAAAGCACTCAAACTACGCATGAACTTCATTGATGATGGGTGTGTTCCCTCAGTCAAAGGAGAATGAGCCATGGATGCAAATTCTGTAAAGCACCTTCCTCAGTTTGCCAGCATTTTTTTTCGGTTTGGTTTGCTTCAGCTTCAGCTGGCTGTTCTTCATTCTTGAA